TGACATCCAATTCTGCGGTAACACCAACCGTAGCAAAGGACATGAATTCTATGCGGATTGTATGAGCCTCGTTGCCCCTGTCACCCAACAATTTAATGAGCAGCACGATCCACAAGCTCATCTTCTGGCAACGAAACTATCGACTGCTGTGGACAACCAACCACAGTCATGAAACTTCACCACAGGTCTAACTTGAAAAAGACATAGGCCTAAACGTCGGCAGTGGGCAGTCACAAGACTGAACACAGTATTATTTGAACTGTCTATTAGTAAACCGTATTTTCCGCCATCTCTCCATTGCTTGGCATTGCCATATAGCAGCATTGGATCAGATTCACTATGCAATACTGAGTATTATTGCACAGCATAGTCCGCAGTCAGACAAGTAAATGCTAGTGAACACAAAGGACGATCGCATCGGACAGCATGGTCATGCACCTCGCTCATTCTGATATAACCAGACTACCATATTTTTCTGATGGTTCGCCGTTTTTCGATTAACGTATCAATGTGCTGAAATTCGTGGATCAAATTTTTGTTCGAGGGAATTCGCAACAAAGATAAGTGTTGTCCTTTGAACAATTTTTAACCTGCACCTCCGGAGTTTAATAGCCGGCCGCTTAGCAACTATTTTGAACGCCGCAAAAACCTTGCCCTTGCCGAGAATTAATATTCCGATAGTTTGTCACTTAATTTCAATATTTTAACTGAGCAACACAGATATATTTTTTAACAGAAGAGTCTTTGGCGTGCGCAACAAGAAAACAACTGTTACAGAAACAACAGCTATCACACGGCGCACAACTGTAGACAGTTGATAATCATCTACAAACTGAGTATTTCTTTCGTGCGTTGGTGGTCATGTTGAAAATGCCATAAAAACAGGTTTATCAATAAATAGCGTGCACAATTTGGCAATTCAAGTGATTCAGCAGTTCCGATTTTCGGCCAGTGTTGTACCTACCTTCTTCATGGGTGGAGAAGTTCATTGACTTCGTAAGTCACTGTTGTCGTTCACAGGTTCAGTGCAGTGGTTCGTAAGTTCAGTGCGAAGAGAAGGGCCTTTGTATGTTCTGCAGGTTAAAAACTTTTCTGATGAAAATTGCCATAAGGTTCATTAAGTGAGAGTAAAGTTCGTACGCTTTGTCAGGGCTGGATTTTTGCAGGACTGGATGATTTATGCGTTATGACGCGTCTGTTCAGTCAAAACTTTTTGAAATGATGTCTTTGCAATCTAACCATCAGAAGCGGTTTTTCTCTATATGTGCTTGCTTGTTTTTTGTGTTTCATTTATGCTTTGTTTCATGCTAGTTTCACAGTTTATAGGTTCATAGTTTAAGATCATATGTATTTGAATTTTAACGACATCTGGTATCATGTGACCTCTTTCTCATAATCTATCGCAATCAATTGCACGATTGATGCTTTCATTATCATCAACCGCTCTCAGTAGTGACCT